TGTGGCCTTGGATAAGTCATCTTGCCCTCTGGGCCATGATGCAGGCCAAAGGGTAGCTGGAAGAACTGCTTGCCGTGTGTTTGGAGGCGAGTGGCTAAAGTAACTAATTTCCCTTCTCTTCCTTCCTTTGTTCCCACCATCCCACTCCCCTGCCTCTGGCACCCAGGAATCCTGACCTCCGTGAAGAGATGCTGGCGTGTCTGGTCCAACCCAAGCCAGAGAACCATTAAGAAGGGGCCTTCATTCTGGATTCTCCGACAACACCAACATCCCAGCTGCGACGTACTGTCACTGATGAGAGACTGGGAAGGGAAAGCATATATATATAGATATATATAGATATAGATATATATACAGGAAACACCGCGTCCGTGCGCGGCTGCTGAGGCTGGCGGAGCAGTCAGCCGATGGCGACAGCCAACATCTGCAACAACCTTCATTTCCTCTGCAGACAAATTGAATTGGTGGAAATTTTTTTTTCAGGAAAATATGTAACAATCATAATCTCTCGCTCCCCCGCCCCTTTCTCCTGCCAAACTACAAAAGCAGACCATGATGATTGTAGATGTCCCCGTGAGCCCCGGCTGCACACACTCCAGGATGGGTGAGCACCCCATCTGTTCTCCAGCCTCTGTTGCTCCTTCTAATGCAAAGGAAGAAGAAAAAAAAAATAAGATCACGTAGCCAAGCAAGAGAAGTCACAGCAGCAAGACATGCACAGTCAACTGTTTTCCAAGAAAGGAAGAATGGAAGTCTCCCACTTGGAGGAGGAGGGGGAGGAACACTCAGTTGTGATTTTCTGGGTCTTGACACCGGGCTGTGAAATCCTCTCTCTGTTCTGCCTCCCGCTTCACCCTTGACTCCTGCTCATCTTGTCTCCATTTTCTGTCTCAGCTCCCTCCTGCCTCTCTCCCCTCCTCTTCTGTGTCCTGGTCCTGTGAGGGCCACTGCAGATGACTCTCATTGGCAGAAAAAGAGACTGCAAGAGCAACAGGAAGCCATGGGAAGGAAAGTAGACGTTGTGTTTCCAGTTTCTCATGACGGAGGTGCAGCTTGTAGGAGGTTGTATGACTGTGATTTTAAGTTATGTATATTACATGTAACGGGAAACAAATATTGAAATAAACTGTGCTGGTAAGTATGCAGCTGACATTTTCAAGTTATAATTACCTGACTGTGATGTATCCCAAGGTTCCTAGATCTTGCCAAACTGGCCCAGCCAAGGACACTGGACTCTGGGTGTGGCCAGCTCCCAGTAGGGCTGACAGATTCAGTGTAGTGAAACTGTGTGTGGTGTTTGTAACTGGGTGATTGGTGGGGAGACTGGGGGGCCCTCCATGGAGAGGTGAGGGTCCGGCCAGAAGGAAGCAACACAGATGTAGTCCCGAACAAGCCAGGCCAAGATGCCTTCTCCCCCAGCAGTAGCCGTCAGGGGCCTGGTCTGTGCTCAGGACTCTGCTGCTGAGGTCATAGGTCAGTCCTCCTACCTCCAGGGGCTTGCCTTGGTTTTCAGTCCTCTCTTTTTCTGTTTTACTATTACCAGGGTCTTTGTTTTGGTTTGTATTCCGCCATGTCTTACCCTGCTCTTCACCGCCTTGTCACAATCAGCCCCTTCTCCTAAGGGAGGTGGTGCCCTGGCTGAGGTAGAAAGCAGTGATTCTAACCTGGTTTTCTGAAATGCCCAGCCAGTCTTCCCCCTCTGCCTCTTCCATCTTATGACTCATTCTCTTCTTCCTGAGCTAAAGTAGCCATGATAAAGAGGCCATGAACACAGGGAAGGCCATGATAGGCCCATACTGCATTTCCAAAGGCCTCACCTATCCCAGAACAATAGCAGGTATGAGGAATTGTTGCCCACTGGCTCCTTCTGCATTAGACCCTGGCTTGCAAGACTTCTGTCAGTCGATATCCAAGCTCAGAAATGGCCTTGAGATGACAGGAGCCTTTGGAGAAAAGCCCACCACCAGCTTGGCATTGCACTCTGGCATATGCAGCCTTCCGGCTTGCTTGCCACAAGCTGTGTCCCTTTCTGAGGGACAGTGTCCTACAGCAATCCCATTTTCACTCCCCAGCCCTGCTAAGGCAGTTGGTATATTTATTCAGCAAATGTTTATGAGTTGCCTATTTGTGCCAGGCTCTGTTTTCAAGGTGAAAGGAGACGCGTTAAAGGGGGGGAGGGGCTGGGGAGCCACTGGACAAGCCTGTCCTTAACCACAGCTGGATCGTTTCAGAACACTTCTCCACCCTCTCCATCTGCTTGTCTCTCAAAGGGCCCAGGTTAGATGTGCCCTCTTGGCCTGCTTATTAGTTACTCCTACAGTGTACACCTTACCTACTTTCAGGTGCTGGCCTGACGCAGGGCAAGAAGCTAGAATGCTTTTCTCTCTGTGGCAGTTGAGTAGTAGAGCCAGGCTCTCAGACGGCAGAGTTAGCCATATGTCCCTGGTGCAGGCTGGTAGGCCCACTCCACTCCAGAGCATTTTCTCTGCTCCAGGATCTTTGTCCATTCTTGGTGGAGAAGCCACAGAACCTCCCACCCACCCTTTACAACATGCAAGCTCCTGCTGCTTCTGAGCCAAGAGCAGGAATGGCTCTATCCCCTTGGAATTGGGCTCAGGCCTCACCTGCCTCTGCAGGAACTCCACGGCCTGCACACACTGGATATACATACCTCAGAGGGGGGATCTTTGTTCCGAGGGTTGTATCTGCCCTGAATGTGGGCTACGGGGCAAGGATAAAATGACCCAGCTTAGCTTGTGGGATGTTAGAATTTGGGGAGATACTCACTCCATGGATGTTCTGACCCTTCCCCCCCCCCCCCAGAGAGGCGGTCAGCACCCTGCCCAGGGAGGAGGGGACCTGCAAAGCTAAAATCTAGGGCACCGTTTCCTCCTCAGCCTACCCTCCATAGAGAATAAGGACGTTGTCTTGCCTTCTTCAACCTATTTTTTTCTCTTTGCTTTGTGTGTGTGTGTGTGTCTCATCTTTGCTGTGGCACCTCTCTATCCAGGAGGCCAGGTAACCGAGTGGAAAGCGCCTCAGAGAGCAGTCAGAGTTCGGGGTGACCATTTAGATGCAGCTCCTAACTCACCAGGTGGCATGGGCTACTCCATCCTACTTAGCTAACTGAGCAGGGCAAACTAGTTGCACCCTGAGCCTTTGCCCCACTCTTTGTCTCCGCGCCCCGTTATTTTCCCTGCTTTTGCTTTCTGTGGATCTTTTCCATGTGAGGGTACAGGAAGTGCCAGGACCTGTTTCAGTTTTTGAATCCTGCAAGCACATACCAAGACTGGCCTGAGATTGCATGAGCAACATCACTCTAAATATATATTTTTTTTCAAAAGCACCTTACCAACTAACTGCAATGCTGTCCTGTTCCTCTTTATCCCCCCTCTCCTCTCTTGTCCCCACGCCTCTCCCACCTCAGTGCTCCGTGCTGTATGCGTGTGCTCTCTGTTCTTGTATACTCAATAAAAGTGAAATAAATGTGTTTGATGCTGAACCATGGACTCCCTCAGCCTCCCTTATCTCCCTCCTTTCTCTCTCCTCTCTGCCCTTGGCTGCTGGTACAAGTTGATAGAGAACTGGAGTGGAGACATCCCAACGTAGAACACTTTTTTTGTTTTGTTTTGTTTTTAAGACAAGATCTCACCAAATAGCCTTAGCCTGGAACTCGAAGAGATTCTCCTGCCTCTACCTTCCTAGTGCTGAGATTAAAGGCATGCACAAAGCCAGGCTCTAATATAGAACAATTTTAATCAACAAAGTCTGTAGTTCCCACTGTGGCCCAGTGGCCTTGGCTTAGGTTCTGTGGGTTCAGTGGCACCTGGGGGCAAAGTCCTTGCTGGTGAAGGGCTCTCAGGCCAGTGGAGGAAACAGTGAGATGAGAAAGGCTGGTTGGAGACATCACTCTAGAGGGAAACACGGAGGAAGCAGTGGAGGTCATTCTGAAGGGGGTCACTTTAACCAGGCCAAAGGTGAGAGTGTAACTCAGTGGTAGAGTGTGCGCTTGGAATGTGTGACACTGTCTGTGGTCCCCAGCTCACGAAGGGAAAACAGTAGTTGGCCAGAAGGAGGTCATTTTTGAGTTGAATAAAGAGAAAGGTCCAGTAAGGTGAAAATCTTGAATAAGAACATTGTAGGCAGAGGGGACAGTAAGTATGTAGGTCCTAGGACCTGAAGTGGGAGGTGTAGCAGAATTCATCTGAAAGAAAAGAGCAACACCCCTGTATGGGAGCCTTGTAAAAACGTGCCCAGCAATCCTGTCACACGTGCTCCACACCCTCATACCACCCGTCCCGTTAGTGACTTAGCTTTTCTTTATTTTTATTTATTTATGTATTTATTTATTTATTTATTTATTTTGGTTTTTCGAGACAAGGTTTCTCTGTGTAGGTTTGTGCGTTTCCTGGGACTCACTTGGTAGCCCAGGCTGGCCTCTAACTCACAGAGATCCGCCTGCCTCCGCCTCCCGAGTGCTGGGATTAAAGGTGTGCGCCACCACCACCTGGCAGCTTTTCTTTAAAGTGACTCGCTTTGAAAACATTTAAGAAAGGAATCCAGGGGACTGGCGAGATGACTCAGCAGGTAAAGATTTAGCCAAAGTGCCACCAAGCCTGAAAACCCCAGGCCCCTCAGAGTGGAAGGAGAGATCTGAGTCCTGCAAGTTGTCCTCTGATCTTTACGTGTACATCATGGCACATGTGCTTCCCTAGACAGACACACGCACACACACACACCATAAAATGTTCAAAAATAGGGCTAGGGAGGCAGCTTGCCAGCCTGCACTAGGCTTTAGGTTCAACACAACACTACTGCAAAAATTAATAATTAAAAAAATAATTCCAAAGGAAAATAATTAGTGCCACTTGCCAAAGAGGAGAATGTCCACAGAAATAAGTAGAAAAGGCTGGGGGAGTATAGTAAGTGTGTTGGGGGGTGGGGAGGGGGGAGGAAGTAGTACAGTACTTGTCTGTCATGCATGCAGCCTACCACTGAAAGAAAGCAAGGAATAAAGATTAAAATTAAAATCATAATTATGTAAAATCTAAATTTATTCCTTGGGTCACCTAAGGTACACATTCTACATTTTCCATTTTATTCTGTCAAGGAAATCACCCAGGTCACCCTTTTATATCACTCCAAACCTTACAAAACAAGTCTTTTTTGTTTTGTTTTGTTTTGTTGTTTTGTTTTTGAGACAGGGTTTCTTTGTGTAGCCCTGGCTGTCCTGGAACTCTCACTGTAGACAAGGCTGGCCTCAAACTCAGAGATCTGCCTGCTTCTGCCTCCCAAGTGCTGGGATTAAAGGTGTGCTCCCCCACTGCCTGGCCAAAACAAATCTTTTTTCACATACGTTTATTTTTCAGAGTCATCTGTACGTACCATTCTAAATACTTTTTTAAAATTACATTCTGAACATTTTCCTATCATTTCAGATACTATTACTGTTTTTGTCTCTAAAGCCAGTTCATTAAATGATACGAAAGCTACACAGTGAAAAGAACCCAGTCTTCTCCAGAGTCCTGTTTGTTGTGAATGTGTTCCAGAACTCTCCTTGTAGATTTCTTTCAATGATCGATACTTTAGGATACTGGAATAGGACTTAGTTTACAAACATTAGGACCCCACACCTCCTGGGCATGTAAAACTAGTCTCTCTGCTTCCAGGGAATGACTGGGATAGTTCATCTACATCAATGTTTTTCTCAGCTTGGGTTGAAGAGGGCGATGAAGCAATTTCTAGAGACATTTTTGTGTCACAGTTGTCCAATGTTCTATGAATTGGAGCCTCAGTTTGCTGCTAAACTTCCAATGCACAGAACTATCAGCAACCAAGAATACCAATGGTGCCAAAGTTGAGACATTGTGATTTGGATCAACGTTGTTCACAAAGTTAGATTCTCAGGCCACCATCTTCATATCCTACAACTTTTGTGTCCAGTGGTAAATTCCCCGAGTCTCTGAAAAGATGGCGAAGTCGCCTGGAACAGGAAGCCCAGAGACCACACCACAGCTCAGCTCCGAAGATGGCAGCGGAGAGGGGAGGGGAGGAAGCTGAACTGCTTCACAAGGAAAATGGAACTGACAGGGCGGGCTGAGATCAATGTGCCTGATGGTGAACATCGCCTCTGGCCAACCTTGGGGCAGCCCAATGTGATTAACCATGATCGCCCCATCTAACCTGGTCCGAGATGATTCAACCTCCTAAGAGATGAATTGTGAAATTGTGAGTGGGACAGATCGATGGATTCAGCTGTCACTGGGGAAGTATGACAGACAAGGAACAACAGCACAGGGACCAGAACTCCAGCTAGATCATGTTCTACATCCCAGCTGTTCTCTGGGTCTGCAGCCATTCTTTGAACCTCGGCTTAATCTTTTGTTGATTGAGAATATTAATTACCAAATTTTCCTCTCCATCCCGGGTCATTTTTCTTGGTTAGAATTGTAGCACTGGCAATAAGACACATTAAGCAGCAAGGGAGACTTATTCTTGGTTAGGAACAGAAATGGGAGATAAACTCACATCAACTTCTTGACCGATTGGGGTTAGGGAGATGGAGAGATAGCACAAAAGAAATGAGGCTAGTTGGGGGACTTGTAGCCTTTCTGGGAACAGCAGGGGTTTTCCAGCAATTTGGGCACTGCTTTTATGGGTCCTTTTAGTTGACAACTGTCATAGTTGGCACTTAGAAGGATGATAACCAAGTTGGAGGTTATTTGTCTTTTGCTCTGTCAGCCATCTTAGATGTCAACCAGTTTTGGTAAACTCACCTGAAGAAGAGGTTGAAGCCTTTAAAAATTCTGTCTTCAAAGATAAACAAGATTGCAACAGGGTAGAAAATCAGGTAGGTAAAGTCAGCAGTACAAGATTAGGGGAGTGTCACACATTGGCTATGGTTAGTGTAAAGATTAGAAATAGTGTCCAAGTGGCCTACCCTATAAATTTTGGTGCTGGTTAGCTAGCCCTCATTATCACATAAGGCAATTCTTTGCAATATATGACATATATCTCCTAGTGGCTCTGGGACCTAGCCCAAGGCCAGACCTGCAAATAGTCATTTACTATACCATATTATTGTTATTAGTGATTAACACACAGTATATCTAAGATAGCTAGCTATGGGCTAGGTTCTAAAGAAATCGTGAAGAAAAAGACAGGCAGGTTTCCTTACTCAATGTGCATTTATAGTTTGCCTGTGGTATTCTGTTAGGCCTGCAAGACACTGGGTGATCATTGTCAGACAGACTGCTGTGGGCTGTGGAAGGAACTGGTTCTCCCTTCAGGCAACAGGCTCGGTTTCTGAAACTCTACCTAGGGATGAGTGTGTCTAGAAGCTGGGACTGGGTGGTAACAGGGCATCTTTGACACTGTGACTGGCATAGTGATGTGGCTAAAGAAGCCGAGGTTAACCGTGGCTACTGGGAACCACCACCTGGACCATGCCTTGGTACCCGTGTCTGCTTGAGACCAAAGGACTGTGGCTGGTGAGTATGTTTCTGGAAGGGGATAAAGTGCGTAGTTTAATTAAAATTGTTATCCATGATTCAGGCGGTAATATGAAACACTAAGAAGAAAATGCAGTGCTTTATCAGGAGGAACCTGCAAGCACGGGCCATTTCTTGTGCGACCTGGGACTCCGCCGGACCACTTTTTCCGTAACACCTATCCGGTGCCAAAGCCGCCGAACTTCCGTCCCGTTTCCGCGGAGCCGGAGCGTGAGGCTATGTGGTGAGTGTCGGTTCTTGGTACCTCTTTCGTCCTCTGGGTTCGTTGTGTGTGACCAGGTCACCTCGCTTCTCGGCTCAGAATCACAGAGTGTACTTAATTAGGCCCCTGTCTCCGAGCCGGCCGAGTTTGTGGGCTGGTATCTCACGAGGCCTATCTCTCTGAGGACCCGTCGGTCCTCCGGCGCCCACGAAGTAACTTTTTCCCCCTTTATCTGTAGAGCTTGGAGACCAGAGACCTTATCATCACTCGATCTGGTTCTGATCCCCTCTCTGCGTGGCTTCCGGTAAGTCATCCACCGGCCTCCTGGCTTTATTTAAATGCATATTGTATTTTATTAAATAAAACTTTTAAGCATCGCGTCTGTGCTAGGGACGTAGGACTCAAGTCTTGTGTTTATGACAGCCCTCGATCAAGCACAAAAAGTTACACACTTGTCACTGGAGTGGACCGACAATAAGGCACCCGGAGTATAATTACAGAACACTTGACAAAAATCAGGAAAATTATTTGACAAAGTGCTGTGGGTAGTTTTCTCTGGTTTGAGGGTCAGAAAGAAGCCAGTGTGGCTGGACCAGTCCTTGGGAGTGAGGATGGTATTAAATAAGCTGGAGCAGGGTTTTCGGGGCATAGTAAGAATTTTATGTTCCCTAAAGCCACAGAGAGGGGGGGGGGGGGGGGGAGGGGGAGAGGGAGGGAGAGAAAAAAACATTGAGGAACACGTACGAGAGAGAGAGAGAGAGAGAGAGAGAGAGAGAGAGAGAGAGAGAGAGAGAGAGAAACATTGAGGAACACGTACTCTCCGGGCTAGGGAGAGAGAGAGAGAGAGAGAGAGAGAGAGAGAGAAACATTGAGGAACACGTACTCTCCGGGCTAGGGAGGTGGTGAATGGGGTGAGGAGATGTCTTTATGGGCTAGGGAGGTGGTGAATGGGGTGAGATGTCTTTATGTGTTGCAGGATGTGAAGAATGCATCCCATTTGTATGTTTCAGATGTTGACTGTGAACTACAGTCTCAAAAACTTTTTTTTTTTTAAACTTTTTTTTTTTTTTAAACTTTTTTTTGGTTTTTTCGAGACAGGGTTTCTCTGTGTAGCTTTGCGCCTCTCCTGGAACTCACTTGGTAGCCCAGGCTGGCCTCGAACTCACAGAGATCCACCTGGCTCTGCCTCCCGAGTGCTGGGATTAAAGGCGTGTGCCACCACCGCCCGGCCCAGTCTCAAAAACTTTTATGTCACGACCACATGTGCATATAAACACAAGCCTTCAAGGAATCATACCCATCCTTATTACTTGTGAAATTCCGATAGGTTAAAGATTCTGTTCTTGGTGCTGGAGAGATGGTTGTTAAGAGACCTGCTTGCTCTCCCAGAGGACCTGGGCTTAGTTCCTACCACCCTCATGGTGCTCACAACCATCTCCAACTGCAGTTTCAGAGAATTCAACACCCTCTTCTGGCCTCTGTATGACTTTTTTCATTATTTCAGATCAACTGTATGTCTAAAACTGATTTCTTAACTCAAGTTATGTCTTGCAGTTTGAAAAAAGTGCTGATTGAGAGTCATTTCTTGTGGTTTTGAAGTAAAGACAGTAAAGTATGCTCCTAACATTTTTGTAACAAGGATTTTTTTCTTCATATTGTTTTGTTTTTAAAGAGTAAAACGAGTTAAGCACTTGATTTTTCTGTTTGTGAATTGTGAAGTCATGTTTTTGTACCTCTGTGTAAAATGAAAATACCTGGTAGTCGGGAGTCTTGCTCTGCAGATGTTTCTGTTGGGGTTCAGTAAAGACCCTGTGTAGTGCAGGTAATTTGAGTGTTTGTCGGTTGAGTTAGCGACTTAGGGAAAAATTGAAGTAGTTGCTTGGCTTAAATTGGTTCGTGTTGGAACCATTCTTCTAAATACCTCAGAGGCAGTATGTGCCAAAGAGTTGTTTTGTTTTTAATATTGTGTGTATGTGAGTACATGATGGGGAGGGGTGTCTTATGCTATGGCAAACATGTGAGGGTTAGACAACTTTGTGGGTTCTCTTGTCTTCAACTTTTATGTGGGTTCTGTCCATCAAAGTGAGTTGTCAGGCTTACAGGGCAAGTGTCTTGACTTACCGAGCCGATTGCCAGCACTCTGCCCCTCACGTTGTTTTTAATCAAAGTGTCTTTATAGGGAATTTAAATGTGGGCAAAATAAAGAATCAAAGCTCCTCCTCAAATACTTACTGTAGACCTGCCATGTCAATCTTTTCTGGATGAATTGTGACTCTTTGGGAAGTTGTTTGTTCCCTGGACTTTAGATGTTTTTGTTTTGTATTTATTTATTTGCTTGTTTTTAAGACAGTGTGTGTATTCCAGGCTGGCCTCATTCACTGCACAGCTGAGAACAGCTTTAAACTCCTGATCACCCTGCCTCTGCCTCCCACAGATGATTTTGTGTGTGTGTGTGTGGTTCTAAGGTTCCTTTTTGTGCGTATTAGACAAGCTCTGTATTTATGTATCTATTTATGTATTTGTATTTCTGAGACAGTTTCTAGCAATCAAGGATGACCTTAAACTCCTGATTCTTCTGCCTCCATTCCCCAAGGGTTGGGAATACAGATGTGTACCACTGTACCCTGCTAAGTTATTTTTAAAGAAGGGGACTAGTCCTTTTATTTTCCCTCACTTTCAACTAGGTTTTTGATGAGTTTGAAAAGCTCTCCACTTCTCAAACCTTTTGTTAATTTTAGGTGCTCGTGGGAAATTAGGTAACAGATTTGATTGGGTCATCTTTGGCAGATCTTAAGGTACTCTCCGGGGCTGGAGAGATGGCTTAGAGGTTAAGAGCACTGACTGCTCTTCCAGAGGTCCTGAGTTCAATTCCCAGCAACCACATGGTGGCTCACAACCATCTGTAATGATATCTGGTGCCCTCTTCTGGCCTGCAGTCATACATGCTGTATACATAATAAATAAATAAATCTTTAAAAAAAAAAAGGTACTCTCCAGTAGCAGGGTTTAGATAGAATTGTAGCTTAAAATGATTTTAGCACAGTTCTAGTTTAAAGTGGGCCATGCGTATTTTTCCATCCTTACCCTCTGTTAGGAGAAAGACTTGAGTGCAGAGTCTAAGATTAGTGTGCAGTGGACATAGGCCAGCAGGACCAGCAGTCGGGCTTTCGTTTTGGCACTGTGTGACCTTTCTTTAAGTGGTGGAATGAAGACTCTTGCTTCTTAAATCAAAACCCTAAAATCTCATTGATCCCGATTTTCCTAGAGAGATGCAGGGTTAGACAGGTGCTAGACAGATGGAGTGTTGCTGTGAGGATTATGGGGTTAATTCTGTCAGGATCAGATTCAATATGTGGCGTGTAGAAATGTGCAGTAAATGAAGTAGCCTTTTCCCACACTCTGGTCACTCATTCTCTTTTTTCTCTGTTGTTCTAGAAGTCAAGAAGGAGTCCTGCCTTTGGTTACCCAACACTGGCCCCATGGCTTCCATGCAGATGGATCCTGAGTTAGCCAAGCAACTCTTCTTTGAAGGAGCCACTGTGGTCATTCTGAACATGCCCAAGGGGACAGAGTTTGGCATTGACTACAACTCCTGGGAGGTGGGGCCCAAGTTCCGGGGTGTGAAGATGATCCCTCCTGGCATCCACTTCCTCCACTACAGCTCTGTGGACAAGGCCAATCCCAGGGAGGTGGGCCCTCGGATGGGCTTCTTTCTTAGCCTGAAGCAGCGGGGGCTGACAGTCCTGCGCTGGAATGCGGTTCAGGAAGAGGTAGACTTGTCTCCAGCTCCAGAGGCTGAAGTAGAAGCTATGAGAGCCAATCTTCCTGAGCTAGACCAGTTTCTGGGACCTTACCCATATGCTACACTCAAGAAATGGATCTCACTCACCAACTTCATCAGTGAGGCCACCGTGGAGAAGCTGCAGCCTGAGAGCAGGCAGATCTGCGCCTTCTCAGATGTCCTGCCCGTGCTTTCCATGAAGCACACCAAGGACAGAGTGGAGCAGAATCTACCCCTCTGTGGTACTGAGTGCAAAAGCTACCAAGAGGGCTTAGCCCGGCTGCCTGAGATGAAGCCCAGGGCTGGGACAGAGATCCGCTTCTCCGAGTTGCCCACTCAGATGTTCCCAGCAGGTGCCACACCCGCAGAGATCACCAGGCACAGCATGGACTTGAGCTATGCCCTCGAGACTGTGCTCAGCAAGCAGTTCCCTTGCAACTCCCAGGATGTACTTGGTAAGAAAGAACTAGACTTTTGGGGGAGGAGGCTAGTGGGGGTATTTTGAATAGAGGGCTGATCTTGGATTAGCTAGTTCAGAGCTCTTAAAGGAGGTAGACTCATTAGAAGTCATTAAACATATATGTATCTTTACCCTTAGCCTAGAGATTTTAAGTCAAGAGAGTTATATCAAGGCCCCAGCAGTTTGGCTGTGTGGCTATCCATCTAATTGAGCATCTTAGATGAGCCAGTGCACATAATCTCATGTTTGGTGATCAGTGACATGGCCTAGCTCTATAGAGAGAAGGGATTTGACCAATAGAGTGGTCACATTGAGACCAGAGCCCCCTGGCTCTTGGTTGCTAGGCCAATTCTGTCTATGTTCCATAAGCCTCTTCTGACACTTCAGTTTGCTTTTGAGTCCTTAAAATGTTGGTCCCTTCCCTGGCTTAGACCAGGACTTTTATTTTTATTTTAATTGTTACAGTTTTTATTGCTGCTTGCTCTCTTTAATTTAAAATAGTATGTATTTATCACAGAACAAAAGCAAAAATAAAATTTACTCCAAGTCCTACACCTATAAATAACCATTTTCACAGTTTAGTGCATTTTTTCTTCCTTTCCTCTTTTTCCTGTGACGCACACTTTTAATCCCAGCACTTGGGAGGCAGAGTCAGGTGGATCTCTGTGAGTTCGAGGCCAGCCTGGGCTACAGAGTGAGTTCCAGGAAAGGTGGAAAAGCTACACAAGAGAAACCCTGTCTCAAAAACAAAAACAACAAAACAACAAAACAAACAAACAAAAAGTATAAGTTATATTTCACTTGTCTTTTAGAGTCCAGTCTTTTTTTTTGGTTTTTCGAGACAGGGTTTCTCTGTGTAGCTTTGCGCCTTTCCTGGAACTCGCTTTGGAGACCAGGCTGGCCTCGAACTCACAGAGATCCGCCTGGCTCTGCCTCCCGAGTGCTGGGATTAAAGGCGTGCGCCACCACCGCCCGGCCTTAGAGTCCAGTCTTTTAAACTTCAGTTACATTCTAGGGGCACATGGGGTTTTTATAGAAACAAGATTAAAGAGAAGCGTTTGTGATGTGCTGTAAGGATTTCCATGTCACAGCTCACCTCTTCAGTGTCCAGAGCTACAGAACTAGTTCTTGGTGGTCACTCCTTAAGATGCTCCTATTCTTCTGTTACACATTTAGCCTAATAAGCACTCTTGAGTGTGATTATGCCCGGGCTTAGGGTTGGATTGTGCGGGTTACCAGATTTTGCCTCCTCACCGGGGGTAGGAGGCTGTTCATCACTTTTGACAGCACTCAGCATGGTTTCTTAGTGAAGGCTTCTTCAGTTCAGTGGTTGAAAAGTGGCATCTTATTTCTATTTCTTGAATACTAATGACAACAAACATTTGTCTTGCTGTTTGTGTGTGTTCATGCACATGCCACATATGAAGGCCAAAGGTCAGTCCCTCGGGTGTGGTTCTTAAGCGCTGCTAACCTTTTTCTTTTGAGAAGGTTCTCTCACTGACCTAGAACTCACTGAGTAGAGTAGGCCAGAGTAGACTCCAGGCATCTGCCTGTCTTTGCCTCCCCAGTGCTGGGATTGTGAGCACTTACACCACCACTCCAGCTTTTGTGATTCGGGTTCTGGGACCTGACCCTGGTCCATGTGTTTGCAAGACGGGCACTTGACTGACTGAGCCTCTCCCCGGCCCTGTTACACCTTTAATGCCTGTCCATGCTCTTAGCCACTCGGCTGCTCAGAGATAGCATCAGAGCCCTGTGAGTAAATAAACAAAACTAAGCTGACTGGTAATAGGAATTTAGGAACTTCCTGCTGTGGGAGACTCTAGAAATGTACCTACCCAGCATCAATCTGATCTAGCTTTCCATCATTCAAAACATAGTTACACGGTCTTGGGCATGCCCTTGACCTCATCTTAAAATGCCTTCTCTGATGACATGGAGGGACTGGGCTGAGGACTGAGTATGGTGTGTCATGCGGCTTTTCACCAGCCTACAGTGGGTCATGTCACCTATATTCACGGGAAGCTTGGAATATGAGCCACTAAGAGGTGACCGTTTCAGCAACATGGAAATGTTCAGAGTTGATTGTAAAATACTTTGCTTTGATCTTGTGGGTTTTTTTGTTTTGTTTAGTTTTTTAAAGATTTTATTTGTTTGTTTGTTTGTTTATTATGTATACAGTGTTCTGTCTGCATGTATCCCTATAGGCCAGAAGAGGGCACCAGATCTCATTACGGATGGTTGTGAGCCACCATGTGGTTGCTGGGAATTGAACTCAGGACCTCTGGAAGAGCAGCCAGTGCTCTTAACCTCTGAACCATCTCTCCAGCCCCCAGCTTTGATCTTGTTTTTTACCAATTCTGGAGTCCATCATCTCTACTTAACCAAAATCTTTTAGTTGACAAACGGGCAGCTTTACTTACTTTCTTTTTTTAAAGTTTTAGGATTTATTCTATTATTTTTAATTATGCCCCTGCGTGTGTGTGTGTCTGTGTGTCTGTGTCTGTGGTGGGTATTTGCATGAGTGCAGGTGTGCAGGTTGAGGCCAGACGAGGTTGTCATATCTCCTGCAGCTGGAGTCACAGGTAGTTGTAAGGTGCTTGTAGTGGGTGCTAGGAACTGAACTTGGGTCCTCTGGAAGAGTAGCGAGTACCCTTAATCCCTGAGCCACCTCTCTGGCTCTGGGCAGCTTTGCTTTTAATGAGATCTGTTAGCCATTCTGATGGATAAGTTTAGGGTCCACCTCCTAAAGGGCCAGACATGTAGTATTACCGCTTTTCTTGTGACCCGTTTTTGTGTAAATATCTAGCCACAGTTTGGTGTCCCATGGTTTGAATTTTTAGCAGTTGAGCAATAGTGTTTTCTGAGTGCTTGTTGGGTGCAGACTCCCATCCTACGTTCTGTTGGAGTGACAGGGTTACAAGGCTCCCTGTTGCCAAGGTCTCGTGGAAATGATGGCATTGTAAGTCATGTGGGGAGTGTCAGCTGGTGTAGCTTGCTGTGAGAATCTTAGCTCTTCTTGTACCTCATAGGTGAACTCCAGTTTGCCTTCGTGTGCTTCCTGCTGGGCAATGTGTATGAGGCGTTTGAGCACTGGAAGCGGCTCCTGAACCTCCTGTGTCGGTCAGAAGCAGCCATGGTGAAGCACCGTACGCTGTACGTCAGCCTCATCTCCATCCTGTACCACCAGCTCGGTGAGATCCCTGCCGACTTCTTTGTGGACATTGTCTCGCAGGACAACTTCCTCACCAGCACCTTACAGGTGAGCAGACTGGGGCTGGCACACATGTGGGTTGGTCAGCAGGAAGGCACACGTGAGAGAGCACTCTCCTCAGGAAGGTCACCTCTTTCTTTCTTGCTGTTTTTCCATGACCCTAATGTTTCTTGAGTGTGCTTCCTAACCTGGAGATGTTTCCTGGTTCTCTCTCTTCTACTGTGTTGTAAGCACCTCTGTGCCAGAGATCCTCTCTCTGGCCTAGCACTGGGTACTTAGAATTCACATCCTTTCTACCTACCTAGTTACCTAGCTGTATTACCAGTTTTTTATTACTATAAGGAAATAACTGAGGCAGTCGGCTTTGAAATAAAGGCGTTTATTCATTTATTTTTTTGTTTCTTAAATTTAGTGGGTGCCATGGGGTGCTTGTGGAGGTCAGAGCACAGCTTCTGGGAGTCGTATGGGTTCTGAGGATTGAACTTAGGTCAGCATACTTGTGCCACAAGGGCTTTTATCCAATAAGCCATCTTGCAGTCCCAGCAGAGGTTTGTTTAGCTCACAGTTTTGGAGGCTGGTGACTGCTGGTGACAACCTCTGTGAGGAACTAACCAAAGAACCCCGGAGCACTACCCGGTGAGCTAGGAACCTCTCACCAGGCCTCGCCTCTTAGAGTCACCAAACACGTGCAGCTTCCAAGGCATGAACCCATGGGGGATAGATAACCCACAGTAAACCGGAGCACCAGCTCACGCGGTTCTAGGTCTCCTGAAGCTGGGAGTTGCTGCAGCCTAGTAAGGCAGAGTTTTGAAGCTCGTTATTCCCAGAGAAACATCTGCAGCTCCTTAGATCTCATTTAAGCATTAAAGTAACTTTGATTTCCTGTTCAAACAAAATGTGCCAGTTTCTGCAGAGGTTCTCTGACAGAAAAAGTGAAATTTGCTTTTAACTTGGCAATTAAATTTTCATTATGAGTGGTAATTAGGGAAGGAGCTTCAAACAACTTAGAGTCTTCATCCTATTCTATTTCCTCCCTTGGCAAACAGATTAGTTTCCTTTATGTACTGGGGACAGCCTCTGTCACTCACATTTTATAACTTTCTCTGGTGTAGCAGAGGCAGACACAGTTGTCCGTTTGCATAGCTTCTGTACCACCAATGTCTTTCTTGTCTGTGTGTGATGCCCCAGAAGGCCTGTTCCATGCAAGCTGTTCCTCACTGAGCTCTCATCCCCACCCACAGAAGAAACTAGTATTTGTTAATGCTGTTGGGTAGCAGGCACCATATTTATTGTATCATGTGATGTCTAAGTTTTTCTGTTGCTGTGATGAAATAACCTGACAAAAGCCACTTAAAGGAGAATAGTATTCTGTAGTGGTGAGCTGGTGACGGCCTGTGTTTAACTCACTGGCTTCTCTTTTTTATATTCTAGGATCCTAGCCTAGGGACTGGTGGGTTGATCTGTATGCCTCAGTTAATCTAATCAACCAAGTCCCCACAGGCATGTCCAGAGACCCTTCTCCGAGGTGATTCTTGATCTGTCTTAGGTTAGCAATTGAGATGAACAATCACATGTTAGCTCCCCAGAACTCTGTTGGACAGACCAAATCATTTTCATTTTTCAAATGAAAAAAAAAATGAGAGGTTAAATGATTGACTTACTTTGACACTGGAAAGTGGAAGTCAGGAATTGCATAGAAGTTTGGAACCCCAAGGTATGAATACAGCATGGATTTCCCATGCCCACCCCCACTCCCGCACCCCCAAAATCCTGTGGATGTTGTTTCTCAGAGGCAGGGAACACTTTTCCAAAACTGCCATGCTATTGGATGAGTCTGTAATTAGGCAGCAGGCAGTTACCTGGAGAGTCTGGCGTTTGGAGGACTTGGGCAGACTGTGGTGATGTGTCTGTCAAATGATGGCTTGAGCCTGGCATGTTCTACTTCAGAAGAATTAAATGCCCTTTTCTGTTCATTATGGAGCAGAGAAGTTAAATCTCTAGTCCTCCTCTGTGAGGACCCTCCTCACAAAGTCACTGGGCTGCCAGGCAGTGTGAGAGTCATAAACTGCTAACTGGCCTCCATTGGTAGCTGCAGCCATGGGGAACGATGCAGTCTAGGGGGTGACGTACTGCCCTCATGATGTGAGTGGATGCCGTCATGCCAGCACAGCAAGGCCATGGTGTTGCTGACTTGTGTTGCAACAGTGATCTCAAAATACCAGGGGCCCAGCTGGATTGTGTGATGCCCGTGTATGCGGGTTGCGCAGTGCTGATGGTGTGAGATCCCCCTGGACAAGACATTTGATGTCATTTGGCTTGTTTTTAGACAAGTTCTCTAGCTCCAGCTGGCTTCAAACTCCCAATGATCCAAGTGTGACCTTGAATTTCAGATCCTCCATTGTCCACCTCCCAAGTCCTGGGATTACAGGTGTGTGCCAGACACACCCAGTTTATGTGGTACTGGGAATAAAACCCAGGGTCTCACACTCTACTGCCGAGCTATACTAGCTGATGTCATTATTTGAGAATGTTCAGGACATATGCCTTTAAAATAGTGCACTAGTAAATGTTTTTGAGCATCCTTTACATACATCATTCTACTTCAGTTGTTGAGGAATGCAGACAAGACTTAGCTGGAGTTCCTGTCTTCAAGGTTCATTGATTATGGATTTACTAGCTGAGCACCTGCTGTATACAAGATTTTGTTCTAGAAGTGAGACTATAGCTGAGCAAGAGTGTCAGAGTCCCTGACAGCAGGAAGTAGACGAATTAACTGGAGAGTTCCAAATAGTGGTGTTAGCTACCCTCTTACCTTGTCCTAGCTGGGCCTCTTTGGTCTCCTCTCGACTCCATCAGAGTTTATCAGCCTCCATGCTTACCTTGTTAAACCATCTGCTTCCCACACTGCTGCCTCTGTTGCTCCAAAGTGCAGCTCTGATCCTATTTCTCTGTGGCTCCCCTGTTTACTAGGAAAGTTAAATGTGCCACCCTTGGCCCCAAGGCTCCTTATTACTTGGCTCTTAGCCTGTTCTCTAGTTGCTGTTTCACTATCAAGGTAGTGTCAGGGTCTGTGCACAGCAAGTTCCCAGACGGGCCATGCTGTTTTAGTCTTTTTTTTCTGAGGCTAGCTTTGAATTCCTTCCTAGGCACAAGTGGTTCTGGCAGTCCAAACAACTGGAACTATACCCATGAACACTGCCTAGACTTCCTTTGTTTCAGTTGTAAAAAGCACATCATTGGAGTCTGATTTCATCTCAGCACATTTGAAAATGTGCAAAGCAGTATTAACTGTAAGCATGTTTTCCAGAATGTTCTCTGGAACCTCATATAATTTCATACCTTCTGTACTGAACCTGATTCTCCACAGCCTATCGTGTCCTTGGCCATACATCCCTTAGCTCTGCCTCCTCCGAATACTCTTAGCCTGCACTGTACTTGCCGCTAACTTGAAGTTAATATAGCATTCCCCAAAGAGCCATGAGCCTGCATTTTTTTTCTCACTGTTTATTGTCAACACCTACCATTTGACCCGTGTTACTGCTTGTTCTTTACGTGTAAAGTATTGATCATTCCTTTGGCAATGTAAATATAACAGTAAAGTCTAACAAAGGGCATTTCATACATCAAAGAAGGAATGAAGGATTCTGGCTGGGGTTAATGTCTGAGGGGCTTGAGGGGTTCTGGAATAGCTTTATGTGAGGGACATCGATATTTCAAAAGGCACAGTATGGACTAGGATATTATAAAACTTTTTTTTTTTGTCTTGGCAGTGAGAATCCGATCCCCCACGCAAAGGCACTCACTTGGGATGTGTGTCACTGAGTGAATCAGACCTTAAAAGCTTCCTCAGCTTGCTTCCTGCTCTCTCCCCAGCTAGTCAGGTGGAGCTGGCTTCCTTGCTTAGGGGCATAACTGTCTGTTGTCTGTGGAGAGGGGCTGGCTTGTGTGAGCATTTAAAGACATTAAAGACAGCCATATTAGTGTGCATGAAGTCAGTCCTGTATGACCTCAGCCATTGATTTTTTTTTTTCCTCCAAATTTACCAAGTGAGACACTTGAATAAATGCCACTGGCTTTTACAAATCCCTTGGATTTAGCTTGAAAAAAAAAAAAAAACCTATTTGTTTCACAAAAAGTTTTTTCTTTCATTTAAAGTAACTTAACTCGCCATAATTTGCTTCAAGTCAATGAAAAGATAATCTGGAATTAATAGTGTGTTGGAGAGTTGTGCACAAAATAAGGATTCTAACTGCCAGTTGCATAGCATTTAGGCTAGAGTCATATAACCATGGTGTTTGGAGATCTGGGGGTTTATAGCTGTAGATGCATTCCAAGCAAGCTTTGTGCCTTATGACTGTTCTGGGTGTCATCTCTAACAAGTATATCTGTAGTTAATTTTTGTTTTGTCTTGTTTTTGAGATGGGTGATGTTGTATTTTAAAAACAGTGGGAAGGAGTCACACCATACAACAGGACCCATGTAGGAGGTTTATTGAGGGGAAGGGGAGAAAGAAGGAGCAGAGAAGAGGGCAAGGACCGGTCCCTGGGGACGAGGAAAGGAAAGAGAAAGGAGACTGGAGGTGGGCAAGGCCGCCCTTTATAAGGGAACATAGGGAATGCACACAGGGAGTGCTCTTAGTGGCTGCAGCTGAGGTATATCCTGTCGGAACCCTAAGGGCAGGCCAGCACAGATGTCCAAATGCTAACATTCCTCCCTTTTGCTTATTATAAAAAGGTGAGGAGTTAGAAAGGGTAGCAGATGAGGCGGGGATGAGAGCGCCATGTTCTTGAGACTGCTTCCTGCTGGCCTGGGGGTGCATCGATCATCTTTGGGGGACCTGAGAAAACTAGGGTGCTGGCCATGTCCTGAGGTAGCTGGCTGTTTCACTTCGCTGTCCAGGCTCTGTGGAACTGTCCAGCACTGCTTGGACCCGGCAAGATACTGTTTGAGGTGGATCCAAGTCGACTCCCTGGAGCTCACAAGAAATCATGAGATCACCAGCCAAGATGGAGAGAGCCACATGGCTGCTGTTAATAGTTACATATACA